GCAGGGGCAGTTGAAAAACAGCACAAAACACAGTCGGAAGCCCTTGGAATTATGGTATGGAAGAAAACTGCATCGTGGGGGTGGTGACCCCGTCCCAGGAGGCACTGTGATCCGTTCCCAGTGTGCCCAGCGGGAGAAGGTGGAGATTTGCACAGTGCGATAGCTACCCATGGCACACTGCTCTCCCTGTTGGTGCTAGAGCACCAACACAAGGAGCGTTGTGTGAACATGCACAAACCATGCAATCACAGTGGTTTACCATCCTCACTGTAACTTAAGTCGGCTTAACTCTGCAGTGCAGGGATGGCTTCAGTCTCTGCAGTGCAGGGATGGCTTCAGTCGGCTTCAGGGCTTGTTTACACTCAGAATGCCACCGCAGCACAGCTGCTCTGCGGCAGCGCTTCCCTGAAGACACTCCCTCTGGCGACACGAGGGATTCTCCCCTCGGCGTAGGTAATCCACCTCCCCGAGAGCTGGCAGCTGAGTCAACGGAAGAATTCTTCCACCATAGAATCCTAGAAGATTAGGGTTGGAAGAGACCTCAGGAGGTCACCTGGTCCAACCCCCTGCTCGAAGCAGGACCAATCCCCAATTAAATCATCCCAGCCAGGGCTTTGTCACTGTCTACACAGGAACTTAGGTTGGCTTAACTATGCTGCTCAGGGGTGTGGATTTTTCTCACCCCACAGCGACATAGTTTCTAGTGTAGACCAGGCTTTAGCATGCTGTGAGAACAAATAGTCCTCCTTCACACCCTGCCAGGTAGCCATGGAAAATATAGGGGAAATCAAGGCATATCTGGGGTCATAAAAATATTACAGAAGATTCACAATTTATCACCCCCTTTTACCCAATAAATCTCCAACACTGACCCCCCTTTCTGCCCTCAAACCCCAATACTGATATTCCTTCCTAACAAGCCCCTACCAAGGAACCAACAAAAACTTTGAAACAAGTCAACCTAACACACCCAAACGTTCAGATACCGTGGTGATGGGCCGCAGGATAAAACCCTAAAGGTTTGTCTGCATTGTGGGGATTGCAACAGTGCAGCTAGGCCATACTAAGCCCCTAGTGCAGACGCAGCCTACGGTGACAGAAGGCGTTTTCCATGGCTGTAGGAATACTGCCTCCCCGAGTGGGGGGAGCATTCTTCTGTTGACCGGGCTGTGGCTACACTGAGGGTTCAGTTGGCATAGCTGCATTGCTTGGGATTTCACACCCCTGAGCAACATAGCTAGGGGCTTTTCTCTACTTGAATTGCTACAGTGACACAGCTGCAGCACTTTAGGGTAGACACTACCTGTGCCAACAGAAGGGCTTCTCCCTTTGGCACAAGGAATCCACCTCCCCAAGAGGTGGCACCTAGACTGACGGAATTATTTCACTGTCCTAGCACTGTAAACATGGGGACTTAGGGCATCTTACCTACAGCGCTCAGATGGATTTTTCACACCTCTGAGCAACATAGCTGAGTGGACCTAATTTCCCGTGCCAACCGGCCCTATGTCAACCTTAAGTGTAGACCAGGCCTCAGATAGACAGGGAGGTTTTGTAAATGTCATTGTGTTAATTCTCTTCTCACACCAGTTTCACTGCATAGCCCCTGGTTCCCCACTGCCCTCCCCTTAGCCAGGTATCTGGAACCATGCAAACTGTGGGTGTGCTGCATAGTATGGTCAGCTCCAAGCTTTCAAAAATCATGAGAATAAGCAAACAACCCCCCCTTACATTTTTGGGGGTGGTTCTAAGTTGCTTTGTGCTTCTGAGCTGCTAGGTTGCGCTGTCACTATGTTGACAAGCTTTTTTCCACTACTGTCAGGGTTCCTTCCCCACTCTGAACTCTAGGGTACAGATGTGGGGACCCGCATGAAAGACCCCCTAAGCTTATTCTTACCAGCTTAGGTTAAAAACTTCCCCAAGGTACAAACTTTGCCTTGGCCTTGAACCCTATGCTGCCACCACCAAGCGTCTTACACAAAGACCAGGGAAAGAGCTCACTTGGAGACGTCTTCCCCCAAAATATCCTCCCAAGCCCTACACACCCTTCCTGGGGAGGCTTAAGAATAGTATCCTCACCAATTGGTTACAAAATCATCAAAGACCCAAACCCCTGGATCGTGGAACAATGGAAAAATCAGTCAGGTTCTTAAAAGAAGGATTTTATTGAAGAAAAGGAAAGGTAACAGAATCACCTCTGTAAAATCAGGAAGGAAAATACTTTACAGGGTATTCAGACTCAAAACACAGAGGAGCCCTCTCTGGGCAAAACCTTAAAGTTACAGAATAAACCTCCCTCTTAACACAGGGAAAATTCACATAAAACAAAAGATAAACTAATCCACCTTGCCTGGCTTACCTAGGCTGGTTGCAATATTGGAGACTTGGATTGGGATGGGTTGGAGAAGATGGATTTCTGTCTGGCCTCTCTCAGTCCCAAGAGAGAACCACCACGTAAACAAAGAGCACAAACAAAAGCCTTCCCCCCCCCCCCCAGATTTGAAAGTATCTTGTCCCCTTATTGGTCCTTTGGGTCAGGTGCCAGCCAGGTTAGCTGAGCTTCTTAACCCTTTCCAGGTAACAGGAGGTTGCCTCTGGCCAGGAGGGATTTTATAGCCCTGTACACAGACAGGGGCTTACCCTGTCATGTGTAGTTATGACACCTACCATGAAGGATAGAAACTGATTTTCCTTTTTAAATGAAAGTGTCTTCTTACATGACTCCAGAAGCTGGGGCTTGAAGACCCCCGCACCCCCCCCTGCCAAATCCAAAAACATCAAGTATCGTGAGAATTGACAAAATCAAAATGGCTCCCAAATCCAAATGATGGACTTTGTACCCACTCTGCTGACTTCCCACTGGTGTTAACACCCACTAGGAAATGGGGAGTCGAGCGCTCAGACTGCAGGATGTAGCGCCCAATTTACAAGAGTGTATGCAAGAGGGGAATAAGCCCACTGTTGGTTAGCAGCCCAAGAGCTGGGCTACACTAGACAATTAGATTGCCCCAGCTATGTCGCTACGGGGTGTGAAAATTCCACACCCTTGAGTGACACAGATAAGCTGACCTACGTCCCTGTGTAGAGAGCACTAGGTTGACGGACGAATTCTTCCGCTGATCCAGCTACCACCTCTGGGGAAGGTGGATTTACTATCAGGACGGGAGAACCCCTCCTGTTGGTGTAGGTACTGCCTACCCCGAAGCACTTGCAGCCGCATAGCTGTGCAACTGTCGCCTTTCAAGTGTATAGATGGAGAGATATGACCTGGGAGCGTGTTTACCCCGATTTACATGGGAATAAATGGCCGTGCAAAGGACAGGCAGTGGACAATGGACCTGCAGATTTTGGAATACAAAGAACAGTCAGCACAATTGATAGTGAGATCGAGACAAGGGAGCCTGCCCATTCTCCCAGTCCTAAACTGCAGCTTCAGTAACAGGGGAGACCATTTGGGGAGTTAGCACACAGACCTAGCTGGGCTTTAATCAGTGCAGAAACTGCTGGTGAAAAGTGCTCATGCACCAAAGACCTAATGTACCCCAACGGAGCTGCATCACCTCAGTGCCGCAGTGGCCTTGAGACTTCATGCCAAAACCCAGGTCAGAAGGAGTTTCTCCAGCTCGACAATGGCAAGTGTCAGGGTGCTCTGCTTCGGGGTATACGGAGAAATGTGACTAGTGCGTGTGGCGTTGTACATCTCTCTGCTGCCATCCAGCCAAGGAGCACGCACACGCCAAGCTTTGGACAAGTCATTCAGCCATACTTGCAGCCTCCCTTTGATGTAGGGCAGTCTTATTACCTCTCTTTTACATATGGGGAAACTGAGGCATGGAGAGGGGCAGTGACATGAGCAGAATGACCCAGTAGCCGTGCTGGGAATAGAACCCAGCTCCCAGCCTCCCCATTCTAATTGCTAGACATCACTGCCTCGAGTCAACATCATCCTAGCAACATCTGCACACCAAAGATGCAACATGGGAGCCAAGCATTGGGCAGACACCTGGGGAAGCAACCCATCTCCTGCTCTGCCTCTGGGAGGGGATCCGAGAGCACCCGGGGAGTGCCACTCTGCGATGTATCACCGTGCTGACGCCTGCCAGCTGCAATCCCATTATTTATTGATCGATATCAATCAGAATGGATAAGTGAGAACAGTAACTCGAGCTCAGGATGGAGACTGCTGGACCAAGTCATATTTTCCCTTCCCCACACCCAGCCCAGCTCCAGAGCTAAAATCGAGCAGCAGGAGGCAGTGGCCTCCCATCAGTGGAAGTGACACACGCCTACAGATGGGACCCGCTGCCAGCTGCAGATCTGGGTTTGGTACGCAGGTCGCGGGGTCAGGGTCACCCCCGTAGTAACTCAGGCAATTTGCAAAATTCAAATAGGGGTTCACATTTCAACCTTCAGATTTGGAAGAGTGATTCTGACCCAGGCCAAAATTAACCAAGGGACAGGAGAGTGCGAAAGAGCAAGCCCAGAATTCTTATTTGGACATGCACCTGGTCGCCTCCATCCTGGACTTGTTCCTGCCCATTTCCTCCTCTCCTCCCTGGGAGGCAGCCTGGGGGTCCCCCAGGCCACCCTGCATGGAGGGGGCGTCTTGAGCCGATAGGCTGGCTCGCCACAAGCGAACATCTACTCCTGCTAGCCAGGAGCCCCCCCACTACCCTCCCCGCCCCCAGGCACGGGGCAGCAATCGCTGAGTGCCTCAGTCCACGGGGCTGCAGCTGGAGTGACCTGCCTGGCAATGGAGTCCAGGCATCAGGCAGGCGCTTCCCGGGGCGGCGAGAGCTACTCGGCACCCCAGGCACGCCTCCCTGGGGCCAAATTCCTCACCCAGCAACACGGGGCCGGCCGGGGAGCGGCACCCGGGGGTTGCTCCAACCCCGGCCCCTGCCTCCGCCAGCCCCGCCCTGAGCTCTGGGCGCGCTGGGACCCAGCGGAGCGCCCCTGCGGACGGGACATCCCACAACGAGCCCGGGAGTCCAACTCACACATCCTTGGCAGGCAGGCTCCTTCCTTCCACCACTCTGAAATGCAGGGACGTGTTCCGGGCCATCCCCAGCCCAGCGAGGGTCGCCCCACAGCGGGGTCTGTTCTCAGCGGAGGGGCTGATCGTCCCCGGCAACCATCGGCGGCGGCGGACGGGTCGGACCCGGGGGGGCTCTCGGGGCTCTGTGCCCTGGGGCGCCCTGCTCCTGCCTTGGTTCTGGCTTCTGCCTGGCTCTGATCAGCGCAGCAGCTGGTTTAGACAAAAATCAAGTCTCGCGTAGAAACGCGTCTTGCCATCGCAACGCCCGGCAGGTGAAACCGACCAGCCAGTGCCAAAGCCTCCGCTCGCTGTGCCAGGCTCGCTTCAGAGCTCGCACGCTGCTTCTCTGTGCATGCCCGGCATGCAAGCAGGCTGCCTGGCTTGGCTCTGCTGCCCGCCCGCCTCTCCTCTCCTCTCCTCTCCCCCCGCGCTGGTCGCTGCAAGCCGCGGGAGCCGCTGCTGCTCGAGGAGAAGAAAAGCTCTGGCCGCGACTGAATCGTGTCTGCAGCCACCGGTTGCTCGGGGAGAGCTGCGCCCCCTAAGCAGGCGGAAGCCGGCAAGTGGAGCTCCCCTGCCTCCTAGCGGCAGCGAGGGGGAAATGCGCCCTTCCCAGCCAAAGGGGGGAGCAGAGCGGGGGCAGCTGTCCCCTTCTGCACCCTCCTGTGTTAGCTTCAGTGAATTCACATGCGCTTCAAGCTGCCTCAGCCAGCAGCAGCCTGCAAACGCGCCTCTCCCTCACAGACTGGGCTTGGCTCACTGCACAGAATCAGGGCTCGTATTCCAAAGGCTGGGGAATCACCCAGGTTTAAAATGACAGGGCCAGGTTGGTAGCAGGACTGCACACTTCCACCTCTCTGCCCACTCACTCGCCCCACTCCTGGCCTGCAGTTTGCATGGGGACTGCGCTTGCCATCACACCAGCATTTTGCCTGGGTGCTGGCAGCCAGCAGAGAGATTGAGACACGCTGGCACTGTACTGATTACCCTTGAAGGGATTAACAAAATCCCAAATGCCACCCCAGCCTGGAACAGCAGAACACTCATTAGCTCTTCCCATCCCCTCTTGGGTTTCACTGGGCACTGCCTAACTCCATGCCACTTCATCTCACTTTCCCCCCAGGGATCTCAAGCTGCTTTATAAAGTCTAAAAAAGCCGCACAGCCCCTCTGTGCAGTATCAGTATCCTGGATTTATCCGATGGGGAAACTGAGGCACAGGACGAGGCCATGACTTACCCAAGGTTACCCGCCAGAGCTGGGAACAGAACCCAGGTCCCCAGCTCAGACCTTATTCAAAAACTATCCTCTCTGCAAGAAAAAGGGGCCAGTTTCTGCCCTTGGTTACACTGGAGTCATCCCAGCAAAGCTCTTCCTGCGTTAACAAGGAGTTGCTGAGGACAGAATTTGGTCCAGAAGGGAGGAAGCCCACGTCTGTTTACTAAAGAATATGGCTACGCAGCCAGTGATCACATGGGCACCAAAAGCTTTGGGGGGGGCGATAAGCTCGCTCGCCAGTGATGACACAGATGGAATGTGCAGCCTTAAGGACCTAGTTGGAGATCAATCCGGATGGCTCTCGATCAGCTGAGATTGGCCATGATGATGATGGAGGAAGTTCAGGGATGTATGTACGAGGGAGTGGGAGGGTTATTACCCTTGGTGTGCACCGTCCCAGTGTTTCCGCAGCTCTCTCACAGCCATACGCTCTGCCTCTGCACCTGATACTCATAAATCCACCAGAAGAATAGCTCCTCTGCCCACCTCCACATTCCCACTCTGCCATCTGCCGCGTGTTGGAGCTGAGTGATGACAGGTGGACTCTGCCGGTCTGATTCAGTGCCAGCTTACCCCGCTGTAAGTGAGAAGTAACTACGGGCGTCCATGGAGTCACGCTGGAGTGCAGCGGGCCAGGGGAGAGAATCAGCCCTGCGTCTCAATGTAATTTTTATCTCTTGAATTCTTCCTGCCCCTACATCAGGTCTGCAAAACTGGGGGGATGTTATAAGAGTGTGTGCTGGGAATGGAAGCTGGGTAAATAGGCAGCTTCTACAAGTATCCTCTCAACAGTCTGATCCAAAGTCCATTGGAGTCAATAGAAAGGCTCCCACTGGCTCCAGTGGGCCCCAAATTAATACAGGGCCAAGGGTCACGGTGGCAAATTACACCAGTGGTCAGAAACCCAACTCTGCCAGGGACAGATCAGCCCAACAGAAGTTCATATCAATCCTGTCTGCAATGCAAACCCTGATTAAGGAACCTCCTGCCAAGCCTTGGGGAGACCTTAATAAATACTAGAAGAGCTGAACAAACTCCTACCCCTCTGTCCCATAGATTTCACTGTCATTGCTGATTGCTAAAGGGACAGATCGTCCCCTCCCATGGGGGCAGGAAACCTTGAGAAGCTAAGCTGGTAGAGTTTCTCCTCAAGGAAGAAGGACAGAGGGGCTGTGAAGGCTGCAAGGGGTGTAGCAGGCAACCCCAAGTCTCTTCTCTGCTGCTGTGACCCAGAACAGACTTCAAGAGACCATGCCTGGAGCCCCCAGGCATCACCATCTGTGTTGGTCATTCTGGGAGCCAGAGAGAACCAGAGGGTCTGTGTGTCTCTAGCAGCCTTAACAAGCTTCCTCCCTCCCCTTCGTATTTGTAACAGCTGAGTCCATCGTGTCTTCCCTATCCCAAGGGGCATTTGGGATGCAACTCTCCCATCCCCACACATCACCAGAATCCATGGGGATGGGTCCTGCTGAAAGGCTTGCCTTCTTTTGCTGTCAGGGTCCTGTCCCACCCTGACAGCATGGCTCCACTGAGAGTCCCTCCCTACAACCTCAGCTGCAGTCTGATGGCAGGGATCAGGCTCACATATATTTTTGCCTCCGTAGTACTCCTCCAACTATTGAATTAGGCTTGGCCCCTTGTACTACAGTGTGTAGATCTGTGAACTGGCAACCCCCTGGGTTTCTGTGTCCTGCACTTTTAAATTGCTAAGAACTCTGTCTTTGGAGACAGCAGTCGTGTTCCTGTGAGAGATGCACACACTGTGCTCTCTCTACCTAGAGAAGGTATTTAGACTCAAAACACATAGCTGTTCTTTGTGTATGCCTGGACTAAACGCACTTAACTTATTTGTCTCCCTACTGAATTCCTGGAAGACAGCCGTGGATGAGTTTTCATTGTCGGTCAGTAGCCCAGCCCAGTGATTTCCCAATACATCTGGCACATTCCAGCTCACTACCATGATAATACAGCACCTTAGATTGGTATGCCACTGTATAACTACAGCTATCCGGATATGAAGAGATTATAACTATTTACACACAGGTTTCAGAGTAGCAGCCGTGTTAGTCTGTATTCGCAAAAAGAAAAGGAGTACTTGTGGCACCTTAGAGACAAACACATTTATTTGAGCATAAGCTTTCGTGAGCTACAGCTCACTTCATCGGATGCGAGCTGTAGCTCACAAAAGCTTATGCTCAAATAAATTTGTTAGACTCTAAGGTGCCACAAGTCCTCCTTTTCTATTTACACACAGATATCTTGCATCAGCAATGATGCAGAACAAAACAGAGCAAAGTCTACAAATGGGCAGCAGGTGCCATGTGAGAAACTGACAAATCTTTCTTTCAAAATCAACTCTTCCAGATTGCATTTTATGCTCATTGCAATTTGCACTGTAATTAATTATGACTAAGGACCCAAGCATGAAACAGGATGTTTGTTTCTTAGTTCCTTTCCTCCCGCTTTATATTCCTTTCCTAAAGTCAGAGAGCCAAATTCAGAGATGAATCTAACCTGGAGTCATTTAGGCTCTGATTCTCAAAGATATTTAGGTGAAATCAATGGGAGTTAGGCACTTAAATACCTTTCAAAATTTGGACCTTACTGTTCCTGTCAGCCCCAATCCCCAGCATACAGCTCACATCTCTAGGTTGCTGTAATGGACCCAGCACAGTCTACTTGTGCTGACAGTCTTCCCTACTGCAGTTACAGGGATGCCAGCCACTGGAACTCTAGTTAATAAAAAAGAAAGTTAATTGTTTCATTGCACCGGATCTCCCCCCTGCCAATTTTTGTGGCTTTATAAATCACATTTTCTGTTTTAAGCAAGTTTTGTATTTCCCCATTTTCTAGATGAAGGACACAGACGTGAGATGAAATCACCAACAGCAGAACAGTCCAGGGCATTCCATGCAAAGGCCCAGATTCTCAAAAGTGGCTACCAATCCAGGCCCCTTCTTTGGCAGTTAGGAGCCTAAATACCTCTGTGGATCTAGACCTGAGCTCCAGCAACTGCAGCAGGAATCCACAGACGCTCCGGATGCCCAGAACGTCTGACAAATCAGGCTCCAATTGAACCAGGTTGAGCACCCCAAACCTGCGGCCTTTTGTAAGCACGCCAGGCGACCAAAGTGAAATAAAGGCAGGTTTCCAGTGGAAAGTGTCTTTAACTGAGACAATCCAGTCATGAGAAGGCACTGGATGATCAACGCAGATAAAGATTTGTGCGTGCAAGTATGCCATGTAATACAGAACAGGGGATGAGGATTCCTTAACATGTCACAATGTATAAGCAGGATGGGTTCTAAATCAAACAAACATTCTCCAGGTGTAGAAATAGTCTTTAAAAGCAATCAGCGAACAGCGCTCTGCATTTTTAAGATGGGCTAGGGATGCAGCCATAGACCTGCGATGAGTCGAGAACAGGGCTCGCCCTGGTCCATAACTGGGGCTTCTATGCCTATGGTAATATTACTGCTACTAGAGATTAATAATAAATACCAAAGCCAGCAGTGCGCCAGGCTTGTTAGTTTGTCCCAGTGATTTATGGGAGGAAGGCCAGCCCACTGCTTAAGACACTAGGCTGAGAATCATAGAACCGTAGAATATCAGGGTTGGAAGAGACCTCAGGAGGTCATCTAGTCCAACCCCCTGCTCAAAGCAGGACCAACACCAACTAAATCATCCTAGCCAGGGCTTTGTCAAGCTGGTCCTTAAAAACCTCTAAGGAAGGAGATTCCACCACCTCCCTAGGTAACCCATGTTAGGATATAGATATTCAGGCCTGTCTGCAAAGGCCTGTACTTTAAGAATTTAGGTGTATTCTTATCACTTGGCTAGTTCTAGAGGTATAAAAGAAAGAATCAAAATCACTGTCTGCTGGTGTAAGGGCCTTCTCTTACTGTGACAGTCTGAGGCCCTGTTCTTAGGCTAAGGCCTTTGGCTAAGCAGCAGAGGCAGCCATAAGCTAGGAAGTGAACAGTCACATCCTCACATTCCAAACTAGTGTTGGGGACACTGGGGCATGGCCACTAGGTAACTCGAGGGGATAAAAAACCACAAGTGTCAATAAAGCCCCCTTGCACTAGGCCCAGGTGTCCTTGGCCCCCCTCCTGCCTGAAGGCACTCGCAGCAGCTCTGCATACTAGGCCCAAGTGTCCTTGCCCCCTCACCCCCCCGCCTGGAGGCATACACAGCAGTTATACTAAAAATCTGCAACAATATGTTGCAGAGTCAAATTGCCTAAAACTAAGCAAAGCCAGACAAAAAAAATATAAA